TGACACATGACTGCATGCGCGGGTGAAAACACAGGGTGTGAGTCCTTATGTATATATATATACACGTGGAAATGACTTGAAAAGGTCAGTGGTCGGTCTGTTGCGACCTGTGACTGCACCAGGTACAGGATTGGAACCATTAAACACAGGACCGCGTGGAACACCCATTTCGCTGTTATCGAGAATGTCTTTTGAACAATGCGGACAGCGCCGTTACTGGATCATCTCACTCTTTAGTCCTCCTTGTGTTGTGTCCCAGCTGTGTCCCAGCTTCTGGGTGTCGGGATCGCCCCAGAAACGCGTGGCTGCCCGCTGCCCGCGCGTGGCGAAGCGCGCTGCCCGCGCGCCGTTCCGGGCGAGGAAGTTTAAGCAGAGCGATGCCATCGCGCTGCCCTGGCCCAAATCGATCTCCGGACTCACAGATGCTGGACGACGACGGGGAAGGAGGATGGCGCTGGGGGACGTTCCCTCACGTTCTTGGAGTGGAGTTCCTGGAGTTCCTGGCGTTCTTCCGTACTTTTGGGGAATCTTAGGAACATGATGGAAGAGCGATTTTAAAGACATCCACAAGACTCAGCTTGGTTTTCGAGCATATGCTTTGATAGATCTTGGGAAGGCGACGCAATTGTTTCTGTAGACTTCAGCTGGGCGTCTTTGGCTTCGCTGCACTGAAAAGCATTTGGTGGTGCCAACTTTTGGCTTTTGATGTACAGGCCACAACAGAATAATAAGTCTAGAGCTACATGTTTTTAACCCTCAAGTGACTTGAGTGGTTTTTCAACCACAAGCATCTTTGAGGTCAAATCACACCCAGCAGGTTTTGGTTTCGGCCACCCTGAAAGCTCTGAATGACTTCGACTCGAGAGCTGCGATGGCATGGAAAGCAGTCTGGTTGGGCATGTGAGCCATGTGGTTGTCCTTCACGGAAGCCTACGGTAATGTAGACTCTTGATGAATAAACCTCCCAATATGAAGAGGATTTCCCATTCAAAAGGAGGGCGATTCCTAATCAAGAGTTAGGTGACCAGACGAGGAAGCCTGTGGATGAAACCATCTCCTTGGATGGTTTGACGGCACGTTCGGGTTTGACGCAGTTTTCGCCCCGACTCTACACCCGACTGGCGCCACCCGGGCGCACTCAGAAATGTGGATGGCCTATGGTCGACTGTGGATGGAAGAGGACCGCCGAGAGGAAGTGCCAGCTGACGCCACTCGGGCGATATCCTGAGCGAAAAAAGGCCATGATATATGTTGGGTAAAGGTTTTCCCAGACACCCCTGGCTCACCAATGCCAAAGACCATCATATTGGGCGAAGCCGTATATATCAATCACCAGATTCTGGAAATGGAGCTCAATGGAACAGTCTGCTTCGGGGGGCTTGCACGGGACCCTCCTGCAGAGCGTGTGCCCTGTGCCCCCATTGGACCCAGGAAAGCCGGTGTGTCGAGAAAAATGGGTCTTTTTGGAGGAGGACAGTTGTTTTCTTTTTTTCGTTCGGGGAATTTGGTGTGGGATATGTATTTGTTGGATCTGCTTCTTAATGCTTTTTTGGCTTTTCATTGCTTCTCTATGATTTCTCCTGCTTTTTCTTGCCTTTTTGTGCTTGCTTTCATTGCTTCTCTGTGGTTGCTCCTGCTTTTCTTGCTTTTCCTGCTGCTTTTGCTTTGCTTATCATTGCTTCCCTATAATTTCTCCTCCTGCCTTTCTTGCCTTTCCTGCTTCTTTTGCGCTTGTCTTGCACTTCCTGGCTTTTCTCCTGTTTTCTTTACTTTCCTGCTTCTTGTCCTCTTGTGGCGTATTGTTTCCCTGTTTGAATTGCTTTTGCTTTCTATGGCCTTTGTTGCAGTTGCTTTCTGGTGTATCCCTGCTTTTCTGGCTTTCGATACCCCTGGGGATCCACCCTCTATTTAAAATACGTCGGTTCTTTGAACCTCTATTTTACTGACTCATTCCGAAATCACGCTCATTCACGCTGCTTCACGCTCCCTTTTCATTTTTCTCGAAAGGTTCAGCGAACAGCATTCATTGATAGCCTGAGCTAGATCATGGAGCTGTGGCCACCAGCATTTACAAGGTTTTTGTGGACATACATGTTGCAGTCAAGCGACTGCTTCATCTTTCTCTTCATAGCAATCAGCCTGCATCACATTAACCTTTAAAGCTTTGAACACTGAATAGTGTACGCTATGTTCCAGCCTCAAGCGCTGGACACGAAGTAGCCAGACACTTCTCTTCTTTGGGAATGCATATTTTGCTGCCCCTGGGTGCAAGGGTGAGAACAACCAGATCTAGAGAAATACATGGTCCAAAATTTGAACAACACCTGAACAGTTGACATGTGTTGGATACCTGGCCTTTGCTCCATCTCATCGCATCTTCATCAGTAAAGCAATGAAAAAACCTGGGGTTTTTTCCTTGGTTGAAGAGAGGTTTAAGATGCAAGTATCGAAGCCATCCTTTGCAAGTTAAACCAGTTAACTTAGCTGCATGCAAACACTTGCATGTCATGCCCGTCCCATGCTTGAGCTTTGATCCGCGGCTCTAAACCTTCGTAGGTCACGGACCACATGAAGTAGCACCTCAACGAATAAAAGAAAATCAATAATATTCACACACCTGCCCTCCCTGCATGAAGCCAGGTAACGTGGTACTTTGGTTTCATCAACCATGTGGACCGTTGTTGTTGGATCGAAAGCAGGCAGAGAGCCTTGTAGGTTCTCAAGAAAGTCATGCCTTCGTGATAGGTTTGCTCAGCAGCATCCCTGCTCCTAGGAGGCCCCCCACATCAAACACCCAAATCAACACATGTGCACAAACATGGCCACAAAACAAAAGTTAAAGAGGACATGGCCAGTGGTGACTAGTCGACATGATGACAACAAATATGAGTACACACTCGGCTAGTTTCAGCTCGCGTGGATTGGTCTCGAGATGCCAGAAGAATCTTGCCATCGAGGTCCTAGGGGGGCTGTTCTTCGGAGAGGGCTGGGCATACCGAAGGTTTTTGCTGGTTGTAACGTTACGATCGATCTCTTTAACCATTTGTCAGATCTTCTATTGTTGTGTAGAGGCACAAGACAAGTGTATATAGCTGACTCTTTGATCAAGGAACATTGCCACTGATGATAATGCTAGATAACCATCACCAAAGTCAGGGTCATGCTGCATAGAAGCTTCTCGCAGCTCACTACTCAGCCACTCCAGAATAATGCGGGCATTCCATGCCTTTGTGACAAAGCTAATCTCCCCATTACGTTGCTTGACCTGTAGCAGGGGGTTTGAGTTCCTGGTTTAAAGAATCATGGCACTGCATGCTTGCATTGTTAATTGGGCTCTTAACAGCACATTAAAACCAGTACAGGTTTTTGGACCTGTTCATGTTTTTCATGCAGTCAAGACTCATATCTTGCAAGAAAGGGAGGCTGAGAATGCTCAAGTCTTCGGGTACGGCAAAATCCTTGAAAACTTTTGTACGCGACGTCAAGTTGGTCTTGAAAAGAGCCAGGTCCAAAACGTCCAAGCTGCTCTGCTAGAAGACTCCTCCACTGCGTGGGGAGACTTAAACCGGTACCGGTGCACTAGCTAGGGATCTCGAGAGAGAGGTCAGGGTTGGCTCTATTCTGGTTTTTGGTAACCCATGCATGGTCGCCAGCTAGTGATACGTATATACGTGACACATGATGTCATGTCATGATCGATATGACGTAGCTCAACGGGCAGGCTTTGCTATCTTTGCTGCTGCGACACCTGGCGAACTTACAACTCCGTCGATGATGTCCGGAACCAGTGCAGAGCTAAGCATGCCGCGGGGACGGGTGACCCAAGACTGAATTAAGGCAAGGTGCAAGCTGGCACCGTTGCAAACGAACAATATGCCAAGATGTAGGGCATGCATAACGCACCACTTGATGCATGATACATGAAATCCTGCACAATTCAGTAAAGGGCCTCAGATAACGATAGGTGTTTGCATTACCAAAAGGACTTTTGATGGAAGCAGGGACTACATGCACATCTATCGTACAGAAAAAAATTGTTTTTCTAGCCACGCTGCAAAGGTTTCTTTCTGGGAGTCTATTCGATATGAATTCAGCATGTGAGAATTCTTCGTTGCACCACCTAGCATCCTCATTGAAATAGAGGAGGTCTGCAGAGCCAGAGCTTTGTGCATTGCACCGGAAGCATGTTCGGATCGAATTCCAACTTGCAGAGAAGTTCCACAATAGTTTATGAAACTCCCAGTCACCTCGAACTTCGACCAGTTGAAATGTGCGGAAGTCTTTGGTGATGGGGGTTCCGGCTCTTCTCTGTTCATTCCGGGTCAGTGGAATTCTGCCACCTTGGCCACTTGTAGGATTCACTCCAGCATAGAGCCAATTGATGGACCAAGTCAACCTCCTCAATATAGTGTTGATCGTTCTACCTTCACTGAGGAGAAGTCCAGCATCACATGACCACACCAGGAAGCGTGAGAACCGTATGCTGCGTGGACGCCAAATCGGTATGTTAAGAAATATGCAGAGTAGTTTCTCCTTGCATGCACATGCACAGGAACCACCACATCAAAACAATGCACCAAAAAAATGTTCAACAGCCTAATGAGTTTTGACAAAACCGATCCAGTTCTCCTTTTTATACCTGGTCCATAGTACTGCAGCATCCCCGTACAGTCCAAGGGGAATTCGGTTGCGACACTCTTGCGAAGCATAGGGCTCTCCAGAGTTGATAGCACAGTCCCAGAATTGGTTCACCTTCCACCGAAGAAGCGTAGCGCAGTATATCGATCGATCATTGTTTGAGAGTTATTTTGCAAAAATAAAAATTAGTACTTTGAAGATATCGAGACACTGCTTCTTCACCTGAGCACCCATCAAAGAGTCAGTATATAATGCAATTGTTTTGGAAACCCAGGTGACCAGTGCTATGGCATGGAGGAAAGCTGTACGCACGGTTGCCCAGACTCCCAGACAGTGCAGTCGTATATACCCACAAAAAGCCACGGGGCTGATCTGCAAGTTAGCTTCGTCGAAAAGGAAGCTCATGATCCGATGGGGATACAGGATAGGCTGCTTCACATATTGAAACCCACGCGGTGCTTTCTTGTCCACAACTGGCACTGATATATACTCCACTTCCTGGTCAGTCGACCGATATCAACCAATCAAACAGCACGCTATGTACACATGCAAAGCGCAAAGCAGAAGCTGGGCAAACCACACACATGATAGATCGATCGATGCTATCGATTTGAGGAAGTTTGTTGAGCGACTACGCTCATATGATGGAAGTTCCAGAAATCACGTGCGTCATTGTGCCCACTCAACCGGCCCAGCCGAGCACTGCCCGGATGTGTAGCAAGGCCGCTCTCCTGGCCACACAACCAACGCATCACGATTGATGGATGTCATATCCATAAACTATTATAATACTAGTACATTGACCTCTAGTCGACTGCTTGGTTTGTGGTTTCTAGTTTTGCACCGAGGCTCCTTGACATGGGCCCGAATCCTTTTCATGCCGGCATGGACAGAGCTTACCTCAGCAGGCAGCTCAGTGGATCGATCGATCAAGGGATCAGGGGTTTATCCTACCCTAACAACCATAAGACTGACATCCAGTCTAGTAGTATCTTCAATGGGTAACTGGCTACAATCGATCAATGTTCTCAACTAGTTAAATAAAAGGAGGCAAGCTGCTCCACCACTAACTTCTTCCATGATATTCTGAAGAACAGGTTCTTGATCGTCATGATTCAATGTTCCTGCGCACCGGTGGAGTCTGACCAGGGGTAATATTCTAAGCGAATGGTGTGAGACCCAAAACTGTGAATGATTTTCCTGACGTGTGTACTCTTCCAGCTTCTTTGTTTTGCAGTTGGTGCGATGTAGCTGCATTTGCTTTTAGTCACTTGTGTGCATTCACACAAATGGTACCCCGACAAAGTTCACCTTTGGTGCAGATCAATCAAGGGACTCTGGCAGAAGACGACGTCTAAAGGTCTTTTTGGTAGTATATTACTTGAACAAAGCACGATATGGTATTGTTATATGTAACATGTTTGCACCGACCCCAGCCCCTTATGATCTCAATCCCATCGCATCTCTAGATCGATCTTAAAATGCCAAAAATCTCAAGCCAGCAAACTTTCCTAGACCGTCTAAGATGCTAGCACCCTGCCTGCATCAAGGTCCAAGAAATCTAGCTAG